ATGAAAAATCCACTATTCTTCTGCTTTCCATAACTGCTTGACGTTTCTTTATCATTTTAAATCTGAATCCTAGTTTCTTCATCCCATTCTGAAGAGTTTCGTCACTTCCTTATGATTTCAGGTGTAGGAATCTCATTTCTTTTGTAACAGTTGTATATTTTTTTTTCAAAGATTTCTTCAGATGAAAATCTAAAGGTTTTGGTATCCTGTATCACATCGCGTCTTGCATTCATATGGTTTGTTTTTGACTATCTCACGTACAGTTGAGATAGGAATTCCGGTAAAATATGATGTTGCATGTAATAGTTTGAAATAGCACTTTATGATTAGCAGTCATCGCATGTAGTCATAATATCAGAATTGCACCCGTGCGAAGCCGGGGCGGCTCGCTAGTTGAATTATGAACTCAAATTCTCCAGAAATTTGATACCGTTGGTTGAATTCAACTGCAACACATCGACATTCTTTATTCGATATTCAGACTAAGGATTAAATTGAACCAAATAAGTTTAAATACATGCTTTATTGAAAATCAACACAGAAGAGTCAAGAAAAAAACTTGAGCCTATGTTGCTTGAAAATAAATCAATTTCGAAATTATGATACAAAAATAAATGCATGTTTGATTGATGACCTATTTATTTTGTAGAAATTCCTGTTGAACATATAATAAAGACCTTCATTATCTTTATATGGGCTGAAAATATAGTGAATTCGAGTGAACATATTCAGCTGCAGATGTTACTGGCAAACAATTCAAAAAAGTTTCATGCTTTCTTGAAAATTGATACAAAAACATTAATAGATATATAAAGTAAGTAGGAATCAGTACGTTTAGAAATTATGAAACCTCAGTATCACTAGAGAAGTGGGAAGGAAGCTAAAGACGCAATACTGCATTTATTGGAAGCATCTCTTGCGATCCTGATATACCCATTTTCTCCCCATTTGCTGCCCCAGGAGTTCTTTACCTTCCAGAACTTCTTCCCGTTTTCTGCATTATATCCAACAGCAAGAACAGCGTGATTCAATTGACCTAAACACCTGCCGTTGAAGATACCTCCGCCATAAAATCGTAAAGAATCTGCCTGAATTCCAACTGATATGGGGCCTATGGTACCTACAAGAAGCAAGTAGTATGGTAATTTCTAATTTAATTTCAATTATGAAGAAAAATCGTTGAAATTGGTGCAGTGATAATAACCTTTGTTTCGAAAGGATTTTTATTTTACAGTTTGTGCAATATTTGATTCGTTATGGATCCAAACTGGAACTGGAAAAGAATACCAAACCATTTCAAGAAACCTCAATGAACTGTTCTGCTTGTATGAGGAATTGGGGGTTTCAAAGAAGGTTTGCTCTTCACTTTTATCACACCTCCATTATTCATAGCATCAAAGTCAACTTACCTACTGCGCTTTTGAGTTCTGATTCATCTGATTGCAATTTTTTATATCCCTTGATTTTGAGGACACTATTTTCGCTATTGAATTGACAAGTGGACTGTTCTTTCTTGTAAGGGTATGAATTTTCTGCCTCGATTCCATAGTCCTTGATGTAATCGAAAGCATTAGTTATAAAACCACCATCAATACAATCGCCATTTCCATAACTAGTGGAGCAATCGAGCAACTGCTGCTCGCTCAACGGAATCTTCACTTTATTGATGATAGCGTTTTGTCCTTCCAGTGAACCGGTCTTGAAAAAAATACATGAGATTTGCCATTAGATCTCAGTTGAACTAGATTGTTTTTCACATTTGAATATAGATGTGAAAGTACTTTTTTGTCAGGAGAAGGTGATTCATCACGAAAAGGATCAAAGAATCAAACTAGATAATATAGTATCCAGTCCATTGAAGATAAATCGCGGTGTTCCACAAGGCTCGATTTTAGGTCCTCTTCTATTTATATTATATACCTCAAACTTTGTGAACGTAATCAAATACTCCAAAGTAAACCTATACGCTGATGATACACAATTATATCTTCCATTCCACCCTTCGGACATGATTACTGCAATGCACATGCTAAATGAAGACATAGCCTCATCGATTTCTACTTCTGCGCAGCATTGTCTTCAAATCAATGCTAGTAAAAGTTCAGTTTTGGTCTTTGGGGCTAAGAGACAACTGAATGGCTTTCAATTAACTGTAGACAAGGATGTGGTTGCACCGACTGAACATGCAAAAAATTTAGGTATCATCCTTGATTCAAACTTGAAATTCAAACATCACATCAATAAATGCATCAGTATTGCCTATATGAACATCAAACAAATTTATACCAACAGACAATGTCTCAACAAAAAAGTAAAAACCATACTCTGTGAATCTCTTGTATTATCCAGATTTAATTTTGGAAGCACAGTCTATGGGCCATGCATTGATTATGAAGATAAACGTAGAATTCAGATTGTTCAAAACAATTGTCTACGTTGTTTCTCATTTTTCAAAATGTTGAAGACCTTCATTAGTGAATCATGGAAAATAAGTAAAGGAAGCATACGTTTGGTCTCAGAAGTGAGGCAGCTCCAACCACTTTTTGGCGAGGACAACCTTCAAATTGACTTTCGGTCGACACGTTTGCATAATTTAGCAGAGCTTGTTTATCTCGAGGATATATTGGTTTCAACAACTCAAAGATTAGAAGAGAATGAGATTCCAATATTGATTACGTTAATTTGAGATTAGATGGAGTAGAAAAATATTCCGCATCAGTCAGGGAAGATCTCATTACGCTTGGGCTGAAATTAGTGGAAATTGTAAAAAAGTGTGAACATATGGAGAAGGATATCAAATCGATGAAATCTGATTAAAAAAAAAACTCTTGATGAGCATTCAAACGATTGAGCAAAAACGATGGTGGGCAAATATCAATTTCATATGTGAAAAAATCAGTATGTAACTCAGTTTCCATTACTTCCTGACTCTGAGTAGGTAATAATTAATCATTGGTAGAGCTATGAATGATTCACTGAATTGTCGATGAAGTCATGACAACAATATTTCAGACGAATCTTTTGAGCAAACTTTCTACAAAAACGTTTGAACATTTTTCCGTTTCCTAGTTATTGTCGAATATATTTCCTTCACTTATAAAACAGGACAACTTTCTCCACAACAAGTATGGTCACATCTCGTCAAATGAAAAGTTTGGTTTTTTGGGTTTTTTTACCTTCTGCAGTCTGAAAAAACATGTTGATCTACCTTATCGTATACTTACAGCGCTGAATGCCCAGCAAGATCCACATGTTCCCTGGAATTTTACACCCAAAACTGCTCCATTTTTGACCCAGTCGATGGATTCAGGCACTTCTAAATTTTCGGTAAAAACGTGAAGAGAGGCGTTCAAATTTGGTCTTTCTCCATTCTGCAATCCAAGCATATGCGAGAATTCTTCTTGTGTCATGTCAGCAAAATGGTTAACTCCCAAGTAGTAGGTTTCTTCTCCTCTTTCGTATTTGGCATTGTGTTCTTCGATTGTTCGCAGATTGTTCTGGAATATTCCGAATCTAGTCCTTTCCTCTAGAAGACTTTTGTAGGTTTTGCCATGGGTTTGCTACAAAAAAGTGAATTATCTGTCATATGGCTTGTTGAAATAATATTTCATTATCAGATTTACCTAACTGTTAGATAAGGCAATAATGTAAAATGAATTTGAAACTAGTTGGTAAGAAAAAATGTGAAATTTATTTAAGACAATCAAGACACAGGTAGCTAGCGGAGGTATCTAGGATATAAATAAGGACAATACTGTATCTAATTTAGTTTGATCTTCCTCTTGTCAAGAAAAAAAATTCAGTGACCTTCCACAGTCAATCTACTGAACGTCAATATCTCTACAAATATTTATTATTCTCTGACGTATATCCAATATTGAAGCACGTTGAGATCCATACATCTTTTTCTTCGAATAACCCCATAAAATAGTCCGAAGGTGTCAAATCTGGCGAGGGGGCTGACCATTTTGTAGGACCTCGATGGCCAATCCAACGACCGGGAAAAGTAGTATCCAAATAGTTTCCTAATCATCTGGAGGGATGTCGTAGTGCTTCATCTTGTTGTCATAGTTTTCAGTATATTCAAATATAGTTCCCCTGATGAATTTTGATCAATAAATAGAGGTCCTACAATGTGGTTTCCCAATATTCCTGCCAAACGTTAATTTTTTTTAGATATTGGGTATGTGTTTCCAGGAAAACGTGAGGGTTGGTGTCATTTCAATTACGGCAATTTTGTCTGTGAACATTGCTATTTGAAGAAAACTGTACATTCGTCACTGAAACAAATATTGTGGAGATAAGAAGGATGTCTTGCAATGGTTTCCGTCATAATTTCGCAGAATTCTGTTCTTCGATCGTCAGTAAATTGGTGTACCATCTTAATTTGGTATGAATGAAACCTATTCCTCTTCAAAAGTCTCCACACAGTAGAAGGAGACATCTCACAAACATTTGCGACGGAATAAGTAGACTGTTCAGGATTTACTACCATCTTACCAATTATTTGCACTTGCTGTTCTTCCGGAATGGACGGATGACCTAGGGGCTTTTTGTTATGTACACTACCGGTAAATGTGAATTCGGAACAAATTTCCTCAAATATTTTCTACAGATGGGACGATTCGGAAAACATTCATTGAAAATCATTTCGGTCTCGTGAAAGTTACGCGTCGCACCTTAAATAAAAATCGCTTCAATTTTTGCTTCCGATAGACGAGAATTGACCATTTCAGAGATTGTTGACGTGATACCTTTCTACTAGTAAAACCGAAAACTAAATGAGCATATTCTAACTGAACAATGATGTTCATTGTCGTACTGACATTTTTTTGTCGTTTTTATAAACATAACTTAATTTTTATCGAGTTGTTGGAGTTGCCATATGGCAGATAAACAGAAATATTTCTAGAATATTTCGATAATAATGTGTTTGTCTTCAGAAAATTATTAAATGTTCTGCCATTTTGTAGTAGGTGAAGATATTGACTTCATATTCTAGGGTTGTGAAGTATTCCCCAGGAGCTTCAAAATGATGTATCACAAGACCTCCTATTCATTTATTTTTTTATCAAATGGTGCCCAGTCTCCATTTCGAAAGTTTCATCTGTCAATTCTACTTCGAAATGAAGTATTCATGCATTAATTCCATTACCCCAAATTTCAATTTTTAGAAATGACCCGTTCAAGAAATAAAAGGGGGAGCATTGAAGAAATGCACTGTATATTATGAAGATAAGTATCCAACTCAACAGTAGGTGATGACAAACTCGATTAGGCAAATCAATAATTATGGTAGAACGGTGATATTTTAAAAAACAATAACAATATGTAATAAACTCATAAAGAAACAAGAGGCAAAAGAAATAAAGAATAGAGAAATAAGAGTCATCAGATATTAGTTATAAACAAATATTGACCAACGTTATAAGAAAAGTATACAATTATTTTTGGCTGTATTCAAGAGAAGTTCATTTTGAATGAAATATGTTGAGGATGTAAAAACAACATTCAAAACATCGCTTTCCAAATTCATATAGCAGTCAAGGGGTATAACAAGATTTGAATCATCAGCATAACTGACAAGTTTGGTGCTAGTACTTTTAAAATTTTTCGAAAAATCGTTTATATAAATGATAAACAACAAAGGACCTAGCATACTTCCTTGTGGAACACCTTTATGAATATCAGCTATGTCAGAGTAAAAAACTTCTGTTTGATGTTTAATGCACAACTTTTTGTTTTCTGTTGCTAAGATACGATTCCATGAGATCTAAAGCTTTACCCCTCATACCATGATGACATAACTTTTGTAATAAAACAGAATGGTTCACACAGTCAAAAGCTTTACTCAGGTCCAGAAAAACACCACAAGCCATAGAGTCTTGTTCTAGTAAAGAATGAATTTCATCTATGAAATCAAACAATGCTGTTTCTGTATTTATGAAGAAATTAATAATTCTAGTAGATATGATCACTTCGAATAACTTAGAAAAAGCTGTCAACAAACCGATTGGCCTATAATCACCCATATCGTTCTGTTCTCCCTTTTTATAAAGTGGTAACACTATTGCCAGCGTCATTTGAACTGGAAATATTCCCGTCTTTAAACAAGTATTAAAAATATGACAGAGTACGGTGGAAAGTGAATGAGCACACTTTTTCAATAACTTAGGTGGAAAACTATCAGTACCGTTACTTAGTTTGTTTTTAAGTTTTCTGCTTGCCTGAATAATTTCTTCTTCACTGATTGGGTACAAAAATTTGAATATTGCCACCTAGTTGTTGTGATATTTATCTCATTACGTGATTTTGTTTTGCTAGTAAAATGCGAAGAATTCAGGAATTGGGCATTGAATCCGTTCGCTAGATCAACATATTTCATGGTACTACAAGGAAAAACAATTTCAGTTTTTGAATATGGTCTGAAGCCTATGGTTTGGGAGCTACAAATTATATGAGTTGAAAACGAGCCACCCTGAATAACTTTTGGAATAACGATTTTCAGGAAAAATGAAAAACACTTCAATAATAGTATACAGGGGCAAGGAATACAGAACGAGCTATCCTGAATGAACTTCTGTACAATTTGTTACCTTGGTTTCATAGGTGTTTTTGTGAAGTAGTTGAGTTTGAATTCGATATTCTTTTCATTTTGTATTTGTCTGATTCTTCAATAACGATTACCTATCAGGGTGAAGTTACAATTGGTGTTTCTGTTTTTGTGAAATCTTGAGAAACGATGGTTTATACTTTCGAGAACGGATTGAAATGGTGAGTTTGTACTACCAGAATGGAAATAGTGCTAGAGCTGCTGCCCGTATGTTCAAATGATCATCAATGTATTTACATGGTTTTTACATTCCTACTCATCCAGTTAATATAGATGATGGAGCACTTTTTTTGCCAGAAGGATGGTAATTTATCAAGGAAAGGGTGACGTATTACGATAAAGGTGACCTATAGATTTATTTTTCACATTCATAGACTTATAGACTTATATTTGTACCTACTTAGTGGATTTATATAAAGTAGTTCTTCTTTCGTCAGGAGAAGGATGACTTATAGACTTGGCTTTCAAATTTATTGACATGATTTTTATATTTTTACTCAGTCAGTGAATAAAGATGAAGAAGCTCTTCCTCTTGTCAGGAGGAGGGTAATTTATCAGGAAAAAGGGTGAATTTTCGTTTTGAGGACACCCGGCGATTTTGAAAAAATGTTCTGAAAAGAAAAAACATTTGAATTACTTTAGGAATATGGACTGCAAGAGATATGTAACCAAAAAGCAGCTTCGTACATTTTTTAACATTTTTACTGTAAAAATGTTGATTATTGAAGTGAAAAGGGTCAAAGAAAGAGGAATAAGGCTGAAAAGTTGCCCTTTTTAGAAATTTGAAGGGCCGTAACTCTGTAAATAAGGGAGAGCGCCGCTTTTTTCTTTTGGATTCGTAATCTACGCATCAAAATACGTAAGTACACGCAAAAACAGAAAAACTTATCAGGGAAAGGGTGACTTGTTAGGAAGAGGGGGGCTTATATATTTATGGACTTATATTTGTACCTACTTAGTAGATTTATATGATGTAGTACTTCTTCCGTCAGGAGAAGGATGAGTTATATACTTGCTGTTCGAACTTATAGACATGGTTTTCACATTCTCACTCACTCAGTGTATATATGATGTGAAATGTTGAAGATGAATTAATGAATGTAGCCGTTACTTCTTGGTACAGAATCATCATGAAAAATGAGAAATGAAACTATAGGGACATTTCTAAACTTATACATCAATGTATAAGTTTGAAAATGCCCTTCAAACTTATACATTACTATATGAGTTTGAAAGTGTCCTTGAAGGACGGAACTTCAATAACGTTAGTTACAAAAAAGTGACAAAAATATAGAAGGTTTTGTTTCTCATTTTTCAAAATGTTGAAGACCTTCATTAGTGAATCATGGAAAATGAGTAAAGGAAGCATACGTTTGGTCTCAGAAGTCAGGCAGCTCCAACCACTTTTTGGCGAGGACAACCTTCAAATTGACTTTCGATAGAAACGTTTGAATAATATAGCAGAGCCTGTTTATCTCGAGGATATGTTGGTTTCAACAACTCAAAGATTAGAAGAGAATGAGATTCCAATATTGATAACGTCAATTTGAGATTAGATGGAGTGGAATAAAATTCTGCATCAGTCAGGGAAGGTCTCATTATGCTGGGAATGAAAATAGTAGAATTCCTAAGAAAGTGTGAGCATATGAAGAAGGATATCAAATCGATGAAATCTGATTGAAAAAAAAAATGATGAGCATTCAAACGATTGAGCAAAAACGATGGTGGGCAAATATCAATTTCATATGTGAAAAAATCAGTATGTAACTCAGTTTCCATTACTTCCTGACTCTGAGTAGGTAATAATTAATCATTGGTAGAGCTATGAATGATTCACTGAATTGTCGATAAAGTCATGACAACAATATTTCAGACGAATCTTTTGAGTACACTTTCTACAAAAACTTTTGAACATTTTTCCGTTTCCTAGTTATTGTCGAATATATTTCCTTCACTTATAAAACAGGACAACTTTCTCCACAACAAGTATGGTCACATCTCGTCAAATGAAAAGTTTGGTTTTTTGGGTTTTTTTACCTTCTGCAGTCTGAAAAAACATGTTGATCTACCTTATCGAATACTTACAGCGCTGAATGCCCAGCAAGATCCACATGTTCCCTGGAATTTTACACCCAAAACTGCTCCATTTTTGACCCAGTCGNATAATAATAATAATATTTATTTTCCATAAGACATGAACATGTATTGGAATAGTCAGTTATATGAATGAATACAATCAAGAAGATCATACAGTCACATTAAAAAATTCTTGCACGGTATAAAAACTATAATTCAATAAAAACAAATTGAATTTAAAAACATGGATTCTGTCAATTTCTCTGAGAAAAGAAGGTAACTTGTTGAACATTTTCAATCCTAAGTAAAAAGGGGACCGGCCAGTTAGGTTGTATTTATAGGGTTTCACATAGAAATTATTACGATTTCTCGTGTCAATACTATGATAGGAGCTATGCCGTTCGAACTTTGATTTACATAAATATAAACACACATTTCAAATATAAATGTATCCGCAAGAGTTAACATTTTGTATTGCTTGAAAAGGTCTCTACATGATGTTTGAGGTTCAACTCCTGCCAAGATTCGAATAATTTTTTTTTGTGCGACAAAAACACTTTGCGCTGATGAAGAACCACCCCATAAAACTAAATTATTTAGTGACCGGTTACACTCCTCCTTCAAAGAAATGTCGCATTTATCAGACACTAATAATGATGTATCATCCGCATACATAATGCATGTATACTCAGCGACTGCAGTATTCATATCATTACAATATAATATAAATAATAAAGGTGCCAAAACAGAACCTTGAGGGACCCCAATTTCCAGAGTTTGAGTTCCAGATTTGAATATACGCTGGTGATCGGTAAATGACTCAAACTGTCTTCTGTTTTTAGTAAATGACTCAATCCAATTGAAGGCATTACCCCTAATGCCGTATGAATACATTTTTTTAACAGGATCATGTGGTCGACGCAGTCAAATGCCTTACTGAGATCACAGAATATCCCAACAGGGCATTCGCCACATTCGATACTTTCCAAGATTTTCTCATAGAATGCTGAGATGGCAGTTATGGTGGATTTTCTAGATTGGAATCCGTGTTGAGAAGAAGAAATAATTTTATGACTCTCAACAAAATTCATTAATCTCTCTAAGTATGCATACTCAAAGATTTTTGAAAAACCAGAGAGTACAGTGATGGCCTGTAATTTTCTAAAAGGTGAGCATCAGATTTCTTATGAACTGGTACAACTTTACCAATTTTCAGTTTTTCAGGAAAAACACCAAACATAAAAGACAGATCAACTAAGTAAGTGAGTGGATATATAATATATGGCAGACTTTTCTCAATTAGAAACATTGGAACGTCATCAGGTCCAGACGATTTCTTATTTTTGAGTTTGTTCATTAAGAGTGATAAGAGTTCTGTTTCTGAAAAAAGGACAAGAAATATAGTTTCTGGAATGTTAGGAGGATTTTTATACTTATTTTTGAGGGTATTTCATTTGAGATCATCGGTGATTTTCTTAGGTATAGAGAGAAAGTATTCATTGAAGAAGTCAGAAATTTCTTGGGGATTCGTGACATACTCACTATTATGAAGAATAGTTATTTTTCTTCCCACATTTGAGGACCCATTAATATCATTTATCAATTGCCAAGCTGTTTTTGTGGGGTTCTCGGATGCCGTTATTTTATTCTGATAAAACTTACGCTTGGTGTTTATTATTAATCTGAGATGTAGTTTTTTTGATTTTTGTATGAATTTCTGCCAACCCTGGATAAGAGTTTTTGGGAATGTTTAGATCTTTCAACTTTCTACTATTTGTTGATAACAATTGCAATTTTCTACCTGCACCAAAATCCTTCAAAAACATTTTTCTAGAGGTGATTCTGAATCGAATAAGCTATCGCTCATATTTTTAGGACCTTTACCTCCATTTTTTATGTTCTTGAACTTGTTGATTAGACTAATATCTACATGTATATTTACTGTAAACAATCTTAAGAAAGTTAATGAATACATATTATCATTATTATACGTATATTAATGTTAACATCATTATCATTGTTCTATATCAGAATGTATCCTATTTGAATAAAGCATTTTATTTCTTTTACGTTCTGAATTTGTACTGTAGTTTGGTCCCAACAGCAAAACGTTATTTCAACACCTTGACACGTGTTGTTTCGATCACCAAATGATTATTTTCAAGGGAAGATAAAACTGAACATCAGAAGTATTAATAAACTACCTGTTGTCAAAAAGTCTTGCAAAATGTTCGAACAAAAAACATTTTTTGTACAAGAAAAAATGTGAAAAAAAAATGACCTTGAATGCCACCCATTGGTCCTTGTCAGTAGAAGCATTGACTGTCAACAGAACAGCTGCGAAGAAAGCTAGAAGTTTCATTCTGTTTTTTTCTCTGCAAGTAAACAATTGAATGAATAGTAATAATAGCAGGTAATAATAACGCCTATTTTTCAAGACTTGTAGAGAAAGTTTTTTTCTGTCACAGAATTTCTTTTTTCAGTTTTTAGATCGACAAATTGATTGACTCCATTTGAACTATTCCTCGAGAGGGATAAGAACAATTCTAAATCAATCTTACCTTGGAAACAGCAGGATGAAACTGTAAAGAGATACTTGAAACTTTTTGTATTTATATATTGTTTTCTCAAAATAATAGATACTTCAGAATGATTTCAAAGGTAACACAAAGATAACGGAAAATCCCCTAAATCCTTCAAATCCTTGACACCTCAAGTTTTACGTAATATGCGTCAGCTTTATTTTCCGTCTGTTGAGCAAATTTTTGAGTTTACTCTTCCATGAAAGGATGGCTTCACTTCTGATTTATTCTAAAAGCATTCGATACCATCAATCATGAGCTGATTTGCATGAAACTCAAGTATTATGGTTTTGATAGTACTGCCTTATTTCTCATCTGGTCTTATTTACTTGGTCGATCTCAAAAAGTTGTTGTTGATGGTCATCACTCCTTACCTCTTGATATTCTATCAGGAGTACTACAGGGTTCCATTTTGGGACCTTTATTGGTTATCATTTATAGGGTAATTCGAGAAGAGATGGGCAGTGAGGTGAGATGGGCACAATATCATCTAGCGGTTATTTAAGGAACTATTAACATTTCGTACGCTGCTAGTTAGAGGAGCAGGCGCGGCCATTGTTGTAGAGTCGTTTTATAAGTCGTTGTGTCTATATTTTTAAATTATTTACAAAACACTGTCAAGGTAAAGTCTCAAAATTTTTCGCTCATATTTTTAAAGATGTGTTACGTTTTTGTTTTTACTGTTTTTAAAATAATTATGTTTTTGGCATAACTAGGATGGGGCTGGATAATAATGTTAAATGCCCTGGAGTCGCTTAACGAACATGTAAACAATATGGCGAGGTGCCCATCTCTCGTCAACAAAAAGGAAAGATGGGCATCAAAGACACGAGGATAGTTGGGCAGGTGCCCATCTATCCTGTGTACGTTCGGAAGGGAAACACACGGGCTTCCTGGACCGAGAAATCTCTGCAGGAGGCCATTGCAGAGATTTCTCGGGCAGAAGCTGCTTGCTATTGTGAAATTATATGGCATCCCCAGAACTACTTTACAGAACAGACTCAAAAGTGGAATAAAATCAAAAGGTTCATTAGGGCCGCCAAGTCAACTTGGCGCAGAAGTGGAAACGAAAATTGTCAACCATATCAAAAAATTACAAGCGAGAGGGTTTGCACCAGACTGAAGGGCTGTGCGTGAAATGGCCGCAGGCACTTCAAATTGAAACTTCCTTCAACGACGAGTCCGAATGTGATGAGGCCATTTCCTTACATGACGACAGTACTGACGAATGGGACGAAGAAGTTGAGGAAGTTAAAGAAGATGAGCCAAAAGAGGGCACGTTTGTGGTAGTGAGAGTTTCTGGAAAAATGGCCTACCGTTTGTTCGTTGCCAAAATAATTTGCAAAAGTTCAGAAGGCTTGGAAGTCAAATTTTATAAAAGAGTAGAGAAGTTAATGAAATTTAAGGAAACCGACGAGACGAATTATGCAGATGAAGAGGACGTTGTCATAGTGCTGTCAAAACCGATCGAGGCAAGCTCAGTAAGATATCAGAACATGATAGGTTTTAGTAACGATTTATCTGAATTTTCTGATGTTCTTGGGTAACTTGTTTTTTTTTTTTTAATAAAACAGCCTAGCACATTTAGGCCTCATTTTGAATGTTCTTCGGTTAATTCTCTTTCATTATACCTCTATACCTGATAGGTATAGCTATGCCCACCTCTCCTTACCGGTAAATTTGTTGGTGCCCGACGAATTTTTCCTAATAGATCCCAAATAAATCCATTTCGACGTAAATTTGCACTACATTGTGTGTTATAATCTCTATACTAACATATTTCAACAGAGGTTAGCAAATAGTCTGCATACTAACGGTGACACCATTCATTTTTCAAAACTGTGCCCATCTCTCCTCGAAAAACCCTACTACTGGCATCATCTCGTCCATCAAAAAATTTAAATACAGGCGTCTGATGACATACAATTGTATATGCACTTTAAAATCGATGATAATGCTGAGGCATAAAACCTATTCAATACTGAAGTTGATTTGATCAATGGACTGTCAAGTGAACATAATTTGAAAGCGAATCTGCAGAAAACGATGTCCATTTAGAACTAGGTCATACTATCTTGACTCCTGTCAGTACAGTTAAAAACTTACTTCACTAGTCATTGAAATTCTTATACTGTAATCGTTTTATTTTGAGCAAACCTCTAAGAAGAATGATCTGTGATAGTTTGATGCTATGCCATTTCAACTACTGTGACTTCATATATGGGTCATACTTATATGATTGAGATGGTAAAAAGATACAAATTGTAAGTATGATTCAACTTCTGCAGCCTGCTGGCTTCATATGAAAAACTGTTTTGTTCATAAATTGATTACCTTTCCGCATTCTCTCCTTTCAATACAAAAACTAATTCTTTCTTCGAAAGCTTCTGATAAAAAGATGAAACTCTAGTAATATTCAGTAGAGATCAAACAGAAATTATTTCCTTCATGCTATACTCAATATTAATTTCTACATCAATCGAACTTTTTATTTGCTTTACATTTCATTTGAAATGTAAAGCAAATAAATAACGAAAATAACAATTGACTTGCTATGGTATCATGCAGAATGACACTGATTGATGGATCTATTCGTTGCATCTATCAATTTATCTGATCAGAAACGATATTGTACTGATATAAGACGAGCATTAGCATGAAATGTGATTGATTTATTGGATTCTGTGAAATAATTAAAAAAAAACACATTTCCAATTGAATTATTTCAATTGTACTTGTACTTGTACTGTTGCACTGCACTGTTTGGAACCTTTGGTGAAGTGATGAATATTACTTGAATTCTGTACCAACACCAAACTGTTATTTTAACATCTCGACACGTGTTTCGATCACCAAGTGATCATCTTCAAGAGGAAGATCAAACTAATCATACTAACAGAGCTAAAAGACCCCGATACATTTGCGCTCTCAAGAATTCCGCACGGAAGAGAAAAGCGCCTCCACACAGTCCCCCGATGGGGCAGTGGGAGACGCCCCCGCTGGTGTTGGCCGTTGGCTCTCCACTCAAAAACGCCTTATATCAGCCTCATCTATAGTTTTCCGCTTCCTGCCGAGGCTTACGCGGAAGTTGTCATTCTGTCGCGTTTCGGTACTTCTCAGAGAATCATTCGTCTGTTTGTTGGTAGCAGTTGTCGATAACCACCTGGAAAAATTTCATTAAAAAACCAGGTAAGAGTATTTCTGCTATCACGTCATCATGTGTGCGTGAATACCCTTATCCAATTTTTCCATGAACTAAGCGCGATCGCATTCGCGCCGTTCACGGTACCTATATCTCTAGTTCTTCATAGAACGAAATACGGCACGACTAGCCTATCGAAGTGAATCTGAAGCTGCTGCTTCGCCACCTCGCTCGAGAAAGAGTGCGCGTCAATCGCGGTGTCATCCGCGAAAATACCCACCTTCGTCCTCGAAAACATAGGGAAGTGGTGCGTATATAATGAATATAAGTGCGGTGACAAACAGGACCCCTGCGGGACACCTGCTTTGATTGAATAATTCGCAGATGTGGTTTGGTCTACTCTTACACGAAAAGTTCGGTTGCTCAAGTAGGATTCTAGAATTCTAATCACGAATAAAGGCATGCCTGCCGACCACATTTTGGCGACAAACCCTTATATCCAAACTTCATCGAAAGCTTTCTTGATATCTAACAGGACCATAACTGTATTCTTCCCCTGGTTGAAGGACTCCCTCACCCCGTGAACAATCCGGACCAGTTGCGATGTCGTATTCTGACCTCGCCGGAACCCGAATTGCTCCTCGGGGATGAGTTTCATCCCATCTTCCAGGCGAAGAAGTCTGCTTAGGATGATTTCATCAATAACCTTCGCGACCGAACTGAGAAGCGAGATCGGTCGGTAGCTATCAATACGTGTTTTGATTTTTCCTGGTTTCGGAACGGGCACTACCACCGCATGTTTCAGACAATCTGGGTAATGCTGGTGCTTGATTATTGCGTTCACAATATGCACCAGTTGTACGATACCCTTTCGCGGTAGGTTGCGGAGCAGAACTGCATCAATCCCATCAATGCCTGGGGCTTTGTTTTTCTCCAGGCGCTTGATGGTCAAAATGATTACTTCTACGTCTGTGATCGACTTTATCAATGTTTGCTCCGGTATAATTGGAGCCGGCCTATTTCTGACTTCATTAGCCAGTCTGGTTTTATTGGTGTGTTCTTCACAGACATCCGGTTCAACTCGATGCACGCTGGAAAAATATTCCCCGAACAACTGAGCCTTTTGATGGTCCGTCACCGCGTGCACTTGCCCGCTGCCTATGGTAGGAGTAGCCTCAGACCGATTGCTCAGTTTTTTGGCCATCCTCCACACAGAGTGGTTGTACACGTTCAGGCTTTCGAGTTTGTTCTTCCACTTCATATTGGTGAACTCATAAATTCGCACATTAACTTCCGCAGCAAGTATCAGCATTTGATCCTTGCTGCGGGGGTCTGGAGTTGGAACCCGTTCAGCAAAAAGCTCATATAATAGCCGCAGAAATCACCTCACTTCTGCGGAAACACAAGAATGAGCCAATGCATGGGGTCTTCTTCAATAACATTGGAGACGACCTTGGCTTATCAAAGCGCCCGACTTTTGCTTTCCTCAGGTCTAGTGAGCTGAAGTCGTAAACTGAGGGGTTCATCATGGCTCGCTAGGATGGTGTTTTCAACACCTCATTCTACCGCAATCGCGTGATGGGTATAGAGGCTCCTGGCACAAGGTGCAGGGCCTGCCGCGAGGAACCCGAGACTCTAATGAACTTGCGACCAGCATGTCCAGCATATGCGGTCTCAGCCTATACTCATCGACATAACGCGGCCCTAAGAGTGCACTCTTATGGTATTGCCGAGACATCGGTGTTGCCCAACGCTTCGGGGTACTTTGAATCCGTTGTGGGGAACAAGAAGTGGCGAATTCTTTGGAACTATTCGTTTTCCATCCTCAGGCTCATACAAGCTAATAAGCCTGATGTAGTCGTTCTCGACCACCAGAGAAAGACGATATTTGTCGTGGAGTTTTCAGCTCCTCACGGGACAGATATCGTCTGAAAAGAGGAGGAAAAATGGATAAAATATCGAGATTCTCTTTTCGAACTCCGCCCTCGCGAATATATCGTAGCTTCAGGGGATAGGGCCTGACCAGCGCATACTACGATAATAATAGCGTAGTCCGATAACTTTCCGAATCGGAAGGGCGAAATCTCAGCCTTGCGCTTCGGAGGATTGAACGGCGTGTACACAAGATGGAGGCTAAGATCACGTCGGCCAGACAAAACGCGCCTCGTAACCAATGTACGATGGATTACAGGGCAATCAACAGATAACTATTTTTGGCAAATATTGGTGGTATATAGTGATGAAATTCGAAAAAAAAAACAACTTTTCAAGATGACCTTTTCGAAATTTTGCGAAGGAATGACAATTTTGAATTCCTTTCGAGAAAATGACAGTTTGGCAGGTGCTGACTGACAAATAGGGACAAGTATCCATTGTAGTTTTTGTCATTAGAAGCATAAACTACAGCCAAAGTCAAATCTGATTTAGTCCAAGAATTGATGAAATTCCCGACTTTGATGATGACACAGAATGAAAAGAGGCATTGAAATTGACATAATCGACGAACTTACCTAATTGCCTATCTGTACCAGTAAAACAGACTGATATATCATCTACTGGTACTTTTTTATTGGTACCAGTAAAACAGACTGATATATAATCTACTGTTACTGTTTTACTGGTACAGATAGGCAATGAAATTGACATAATCGACTAACTTAACTAATTGCCTATCTGTACCAGTAAAACAGACTAATGAATCACAGATAGGCAATGAACTTGACATAATCGACGAACTTACCTAATTGCCTATCTGTACCAGTAGAACAGACTGATATATCATATACTGCTACTGTTTCACTGGTACAGAGGGCCAATGAAATTGACATAATCGACGAACTTACCTAATTGCCTATCTGTACCACTTAAACAGACTAATACATCATCTACTTTTACTGTTTTACTGCTATCAGTAAAATAGACTAATATATCATATACTGCTAGTGTTTTACTGGTACAGATAGGCAATGAAATTGACATAATCGACGAACTTACCTAATTGCCTATCTGTACCAGTAAATCAAAATAATATATCATCTACTGGTACTTTTTTTACCACTGGTACCAGTAAAACAGACTAATATATCATCTACTGCTACTGTTTCACTGGTACAGATAGGCATTCAGGTAAGTTGGTCGAATATGTCAATTTCATTCACCCGTAAATGAAATTCACCACTCCATTCTTCCCAAAAAACTACAATTCAGTTGATAATTTCAAAAAAGAACTCAATATCATCAAGAAAATTGCAGTAAACAATATGTTTGAAGCTGAATTAATAAACAAAATACTTTCCCAAAAAGTCTACGCGAAAGCAATTCAAGACGTTTTTCCTACTGATTAGTTAGATGATCAAAATCAAAATTGGACGTATGTCCAGACAAACACCAGAAAAATTGGCCCTTTTTTTGAGAGAACGAGGTAATAAAATTGCATATAGAATAAGTAACACATTGGGAAAGTTAGTTGAAAATAATAAAGGAGTATATGAACTTAAGTGTGGAACGTGCCCTAAGATATATTTATATCGGTCAAACTGGCAGAACATTTAGGAATCGAATTTAGGAACATCTTATTAGCTATGTGAATAAGACAACAAGTTCAACATATTCAAATCATCATTTGGAAGGAAACCATATCTTCAACGAAGAGTTCGAAATTTCACACATAGAAAATAAAGTTTTGAAATCAAACATTCTAATGAATGACCAACTAGATTTGAATAGATCATCATTATTGAACTTAGAAAAACCGAGAAAGAATTATTATTGATGAAGAAGTGAGGTAGCTTCAGGTAATCATAATTGAAGAGGTACCTCAGGTATATAAAAGTTGTACAGGTTCAGGTTTCTTGATGGAGAAAGTCTCAATTGTAGTTACATGTGGCATTTAGATATTAGCGTAAGGAGCAACTTGTAGTATTCAAATCACTGTTGAAGAAGCTACTGTGCTAGCGAAACATGTTATATATTTCCGAGGTGTAGTTTCTGAAATTAGTATGGATCTTCATCAAGTAACGGCTGAATTTATCGGAAAAAAAATTAAACGACCCAATACAACAAAATCAATTTTTGACGGTTTCTCACTACAAGTGGGAGTCACTTTTTTAGACAAAACTTTGAACAGATTGATGTGTGTTATTTTTGAAAAATTCTCAGAACCAGCCAATTGTCTGAGAGATACGATCGATATCATTCGTCTATTCGTTTGAGATTATTGTGAAGTATCGCTTACGACAAAGAGAACATTAGTATAAATTCAGAGTACCTTCAGTTCTAGAAATAATTTCTTTTTGGTGTTCTATTGGGGTGAGTTGATCATCGTTATTTTCACAATAGATGTTGATATGATTGGTGTCCAAGTATAATATGTTATTTTTCTCAACCATTTTTTATAATCCGCAACCATAGTTTCTTTGTCAGCTGAGATCTCATAATTTTGTAGCTTTGATTTTGAAACTGTGCTGAAAGCACAAGCGATTTGTACAAGCTAGCTAATATCGAATATATGTTTATTCAGTTTTCCAGCTATGGTATAGCTCATACATATAGCAGTTATATAGCTATACCTGAATATCATGAAAAAGTTGTAAAATATCAGAGAAAATATGCTGTAGATAGAATAAAAACAAGATCCTACATAAAAAAACGTTAAGTTTGTCAGGTTACATTAGGTCATTTAAATTTACGACATATCACAAAATAATTTGATCATACGGACTTCCTAGGAGAGTTTGCATGATTTAAAGTTTTCTCTTGATGATTTTTAAGTGATAACTGTTTTCAGAAAAATCAAAATGAAACTTCTGGCTATTTTGGCAACTGTTTGCTTAACAGCCGCTGTTGAAGATCAATGGATTGCTTTCAAGGTAAAATATTTTCCAATAATCTAATTTAGTTCGGAGAGTAGAGTGAATACTGATGAATATTTTATTACATTCAGTCACATTCTTCACGTACAAGTTCATTTTTCACTGCTTGTAATTTTATCTCGAAGATATTATTCTTTATGCTCAGCAGAAGGAATAAAAAATGAACGGTCCTGAGAAAGTTAACAATAGAAGTATAGTTTTTTAGAGAAATGAACCCAATAAACAGTTTGAGATTACAACTTGCCCTAAGGGTCGAAAATGTTATATAAAAAATTAGAGAATCCTTAAAATTTTGTTAAAAAGTTTGATACGTTTGAACACAGTGATTGTTCATAACACCATGCCTTTCAATGCAATAATAATGATACATTCATTACATATTCATCTCATAGCAGTCATTAAATTATCTGAAAAAAATAATCATTTTTCAGTGTTGAATAATATTTAATAAATATGTAATACAGAAACAATCAATCTAAAGATCGATAAACATAAAAATATCAAGAAAATTGATCCTCATGGAACAATAGAAATTATTTATTCCTCTTCAAGAGAAGACAAACTAGTTTGATCTTCCTATTGAAGATGATCATTTGGTGATCGAAACACGTGTCGAGGTGGTAAAATAACGGTTTGGTGTTGGGAGAAAACTGCTGTAATATTCTGAAATGTAGGTCTGAGATTTGTGGCAATATATCCTATATTTGTTCGTGGTATTACCGAATAATTTATTGAAAATTACTTTCAGCAACAGTTTCTGTGAAACATTTTGACAGGTACAGCTTCCAATGTGCAATCATATGTTTTTGAAAAAGATTTTGCATTGATTTATATAATTTTATCAACATTGTTTCACAGCAAACTCATGGGAAAACTTACAAAAGCTTGTTGGAAGAAAGAACTAGGTTCGGGATATTCCAAAGTAACCTGATGAAAATCAAAGAACACAATGCCAGATACGACAAAGGAGAAGAGACCTACTACTTGGGAGTCTCTCGATTTGCTGATTTGACCCATGGAGAGTTCAAAGATTTCCTGAGGAGACAAATCAAGAACAAACCCCGTTTACATGCCACACCTACAGTATTTCCTGAAGATTTGGAAGTTCCAGATTCCATAGATTGGACCGAGAAGGGAGCAGTTCTGGATATTAAAGATCAAGGCGATTGTGGTTCTTGCTGGGCTTTCAGTTCTGTAAGTATTTTATATAGTCACGAAAGTCTGTGAGTCAGATAACGTTTCAATTGATCATTGTACTATATCTTATCTCTCTAACATGGATATTTCTCATTGTATCGATACAGAAGCGTAATTTAGGTTATTAGATTGCCTGATAAACAACAGTGGGGTACCAAAGTTCAATATTATAAGTCCAACATTGATTACATTTTTATGTTAAATGCTATTAGGTATAACTGCTTCAAAAAAACAGATACACGATCTAAGAAACATTCAACAATTTCTCGAAACAGTTTGCAGGACTGCAGCATGTTCTTCTCTTTTCAATACATTATTCACCCAATATACAGGACTGTTCAAATTTGTGTCTTTGTATGGAGATCTTATGAAAGATGAAGAGTTGGTTGAACTGTGGCAAAGTAACCTCTTTTTGGGCGCTATTGAATGAAATAAAAAATTCGACCTCAGCTTTGTCGGTTATATAGATGAGTATATGGGAGGAGCCGAAAATTTCAAAATTCTCTCTTTTAATGTATTCTTCTCTATTCGATGAAATATTTAAAATCTGCTTTTCTCCTCACCAACTTTCATTATACTATCAGAATATAAACTTCGAATTTCTATACCGGTCAAAAGTGCCTGTACTCTTCATCTAGTAGTGGACAACTCGAAAGACAGTGGATTATAATAGCTCGTTTCAAAGAACATTCTCAACATATTGTTTCGTAGATCTCAGAAGTCTAGTTTCATTGAACATGTCTTATAGAATGACCAAAAATTGAATGAGAACAACAAAATACCATTTTGATCAGCTCGTGACTCTATAACATAATAGCGACAAAAAGAAACCGGTACATCAGGCATCATAACAAGTAGTTATCAACCTAATAATCAGGAATCAAGAAACATTTAGAAAATGACACAGCAACTAATACTGATTCATTCAATGATTTCCATTAAAGAAGTTGTGATGTATATAAAAGTCTGCAACTCAGTTATAAGATGAAACTCTGATAATTTTCTGATGATGCTGAGTCGAAACGCACATCGGGAAACAGAACTGTAATTCAGTTGCGTGGAGTGTGTTTATAAAATTGCGAAGCGTTAAAATAATGAATATATATTAATGTAGGTCGTGGTGATGTTAAAACGTTAAAACATTTCATTGTATGACGTTTATTCTTCATTTGGTATGTTGATATTTTTGCTCACTCTGTACCAAGTACATCTTTGGTTACTCCAAAACTGTGAAAACATTTGAAAATTTCATTCAGAAGAAACGGTGAATATTCCACTACAGTCCACGAAAGTGGGCCACCTTGTATATCTAACAATAGCCAAGAAATAAGAAAAGTTGCGACTAATATTATAATAGCTATACATGAGAGTTCAAAGCATCCTGACTGCGGCTCCAACATAAAAAATTTTCCGTCATTTGAGGATTTTGAGTTACAGTTATTTTTATTTTACACAAAAATTTTCACATATTATAGGGGAGTATAAGATCAAAACAAAAAAAAAACAATATGCTTGAGGATAACAGCCTTCATTTACAATATATATGAAAAAACATTCAAATAAAGTCTTTTGTGCATAACCTTTTTTCAAATATTGACTTTCGTTTACATCTTTCATCGTTTTCTCTCA